GGTAGAGAGTCAGTGACACCAGTATAAGAGGGCAGCAGGCAGGGTAACACATTTGCTCTCCTTCTCGCTAAGCCAGCTGAGACTGAGTCATGCCATAAACAACAGGCTGGTGTGCCAGGAAAAGCTGTCATGGCTAAACCTAACGTGATAGTGACCATTGTAAGCCATGAATACAGGCTATGCAATTTACTGTCAGTTAACTCAGAGCACAGCACGGCCAGTCAGCTCCAAAAAAAACTAGATGTCATGCAACAACAGGCTCACACACGGGGTCACTGTCCGTGACGGCAGGGAGCACAGTCTCCCTGATTGTTCCATGTCTTGGAGGCATCAGTCTCTTCAAGCACTGACAGTCTTATCGCTATGCTGACCCGGCTTTCCAGGAAAGACAAGTGTTCCTGGGGTCAGTCTGTTGGACCTGCACTCGATGATTTAACAGACAAGCTCTGGAGAACTGTGCTCACACACGGGGTCACTGTCCGTGACGGCAGGGAGCACAGTCTCCCTGATTGTTCCATGTCTTGGAGGCATCAGTCTCTTCAAGCACTGACAGTCTTATCGCTATGCTGACCCGGCTTTCCAGGAAAGACAAGTGTTCCTGGGGTCAGTCTGTTGGACCTGCACTCGATGATTTAACAGACAAGCTCTGGAGAACTGTATAGCTCCAGCTGAAGACCTTTGCCAACACTAGCTCTTTGCTGAGCAATTCTGCCAGCTGCTGCTGATGTGCAGCAGAGGTGGGAGACAGAAACCTGTGCTTGCTCCTCAGCTGCTTCAGTTCAGTGGGGCTGGACTAAACTGGACTGGGAACTGCTTGGGAACTGCTGGTTTAGGTATGGGAATGCGTTCCCTTCTGCTGACTTTTGGGACAGGGTGGTCACCTCCAGCAGAAGCCAGAGCAGAGCTGGGTCAGTAACATCTTAAACTACCAAAAGTGCACCAGAGTCTATCTGCCAGACGTGAGGTCATCTCCTGCCTTCTTCTACATGACTTTGTCAGGTTAGATCATGGAGGGAAAAGTGGAAGCCGAGGGACTGTCAGTTAGGGGACTCTTGTGGTTTTCTACAGCAGAACCAAGAGCTACCTCATCCCTGGGAAAAATGCAGCATCATCTCTGCCAAACTGGCAGACCTCAGGAGCAGACTCCTCCATACACAGGGCAAATGTGCCTCCCCGTGATCCACTGCAGCTTCCAGGCTGGGTCCCTGGTGAAGGCAGGTACTTCCAAAGCTGACTAAGGGAAAAATAAGCAATGGAAGTTTCCATCCCTGACTGCAGGTGTGGAGTTTGTGCCTGGCCGTGCTACGAAAGGACGTGTGGCGAGCTGCAGAGCTTGCTTGTGGACTCTTTAAACCCTCTTGCTCCCCATTCTTAAGAATTCCCTGCAGCTGAAGGCTTTCAGACCTGCTGAATATCAGGCTTGTGCCAATCTCTGTAATCTCTAGGGAGTTTACACCAAGCATCATTTACGCTGCTTTTTACATCGTGAGTATGTTTTAAAGTCTCCAGGCCAAGGCCGCTGCCCTTTCTTACAAGCTCAGCTCTCTGCATCCAACATTTTTCATTTAGTTGCTGTGGATGGAACGAAGCATTTGAGATTTCTAAGCAGAAGGGGGCTTTTGCACACTTCCAGCAGCGCTTTTTTTTCAGCTCGACACCAGTGCGGACCTATGGCATGCTCCTATTGTCACAGCTTAACAAAAAGGTCATCCTTGTGAACAGGGCAAGCAGAATCTGGGGTACATCCATCAGAGACCATTATGGCAGCACGGCAACTTATTTATTCAGGTGCAGCTACCTACAGAGTAGTTTTAACTGACTGATTCATGTACTTTGCTCTTCAAGAATATCCCATTCAAGACTTAAACCGGGATTCCCCTACAGCTAAACTGGGCTCCCTGTTTTCAACAGGGAAACTCATATTTGTGCGCTGAAACAGAAACGGCCTTTCCTAGCTTGTTCCTCAGTCCCACAAACTCACGGGCTTTCTGCGTTTCTCAGCCTTGTGTTCAGGAGAGGGGGCAAAAAAACCCCCTAGCAAGATCTGGCAGGGCTTGGCAAGGCAGCTCACAGTGTGATTTTAAACTGTGGATGGCAGCAAGCCTCCCAAATGGAAAATGTTTAGCTGATATATATCACCACAGCTGCGATTTCAAAACAGAAGAAGGACAGTTGTGTACATTGGCCTCCTAATTGAAGCCTGTTCTAACATCTGCCAAAGTATGTTGTGTGTCAACACCCTCACCAGGTTCCCAGCCAAAAGGAGGGTGGGAGGGGAGCTACAAACAGGGAACTTTTCATTTATAAAAGCCCTTCCTTTCACCAAAAGAGCCTTATAAAAAGTAGCCTCTATCTAGGTCTCCATTTAATCAGTGGCATGAAAAACATGGGAGCTGTAAACTTGCCAGCATGCCAAAAGGATGAAGTTACCCTTTTGGGGCACAGTTTGGGCACATCACTCTCCTAGCAAGAAAGGAACGGTTTAGGAACAGGTCTCACACCCTGCATTGATTCATGCAGCAGTGCAGAGACACAGGCAGCTATTACACGCTCCTCTCTAAGTAATATACTTGCAGATAATAATAATTCCTAGTGTGCCACCCATCTCTGAGCCCACAGGCTTTTATTTGCCTCCTTGGGAATAGCCGTGCACTTGTAGTTATTGAGCCACCCTCTAGAAAACACACCAAGCCCGCCAGGGTTAGCCACTTTCGATCTAAAATTGACATCATGTCTCATTAATCAAGTTACAAAACAAATGCTAAACCCCCACTCGGACTGGAGAGGCTCACTGCTCTGGGATCGGGTGCTGAGCAGGAGCTCACTAGCCCAGGGTGCAAATTTCCAGGTTGCCATCGCTTTGGCGCATGGCGCTTAATATCGCTTTTCTCCCCAATACAGACTGCACCTACTTGCAAAATGCACGTCATTCACCTTCTCTCTCCACCCCCACCCTGGTCCATGTGAGTGTTTTGGAGCAGGACAGTCCTTGTTTTGTTGTTTTGAATGAAGTTTTAGCACAATGATGCTCTGAACTCAGCTGGGGTCTTATTGTACGAATAAACACTAAGTGACTGGAGTGAAAGAATAAGCAATAATGACAAGAAGGACTAAACAATCTCCATTTATTTAAACAAAATGGAGATGGGGGAATACAGGCAAGTTGGTATTTTTGCCCGTTTGTATTCTTACGGAAATGAATACGTTTTCTTCCTCACAACCTCTCGGATTTGCATGGGGAGATTTAGTAAGATCTCTTAGGCCAATAAAATCACACTGAAATTGGAAATAAGTCAAAGTGTGGTGCCTCAAAGCTACAACAGAAGCATCCCAGCCCACAACGATGCTGAAATGGATAGCATGTAGGTAGGAACTAAGGAGAACTTCCAAAGATGTGTAGTGATGATGAACCTACACATGGAGTAGGGCAAGCGTGTCCTTGCATGCAGTCAGTGCTCAGATGGATGTGTAGCTTCTTTGCAACGCCAGCCTGGTTGTCAGCTTCTGGATCTAACCAGATGCTGTGCAGGAAGCTAAAGACGTAGAGTTTCATGAATTCTGCAAAATAAATCTTTTCTCCTAGGAACTGTTTGGCTGCCAGTAACTTTGCACTGGAGTTTCTCAGATCAATGGTTCCAACTTCAGGAACTCAGTACACGGATAGGGATCACCGATTTCACTGGAACTTGGGCAAAGCTGCAGCATGTGCAGCTGGGACAGGGACAATTCCTCGCCCAGAGCACATGGGGGAACCACAGGGAATGGTCAGGGAGTACCAGAAGAAAGAAAATGATAAGGCAGGAAAAATATCAAGAGGAAAAAGTTGAGTTGCTGGAAGACCCTTTCCCCATGACAAGAAGAACATCTACAAGACAGTAGCGTTCCTCCTTATGCATTGTAGACCATCCACAGCTATAGGTCATTTCTCCCAGCTGCCAAAGAGCTAAATCTCAGAGCCTTTCGTCTGCTCTGGGCGCAGCTGCCTGGGAACTCATTTTGGAGTTAGCAGACCCGAGGGTGATGAGAAAGGCAATCCTACCTTCTTACCCGGGGAGCGGATTAAAATGAAACGGTTTTTCTTTTTCAGTAGTGCACGCAGTTCCTGGCACTTGTCATAACTCTCCAGTTCCACTGTTTCTATGCACTTCTGTTCATCCTGCAGAGAGGGAATGAAATGTTAGTATGAATAGGAAGCACTGAAATCAATCATACACCATCAAACTCTGCATGTCTTCCCCTTGCATCTGTCTAAAAGCTCTCCTGCCTTAAAAATAACCTTCATGCAGACAGCAAGCCCCTATAAATCAGGCTGGCATCTCACTAAGAAAACACCCTAATCTTTAAGCTACAGGCCAATTTGTGGCTAGTGGTCCACAGTGGCTGAGCAAATAACACGTTGTGGATGGTAACACCAGCTTCTGCCATCTCTGTTGGCCTCGTCCAGGGATCTGCAGCCAGAAGCGACACCACTCCTTCCCCACAATGAACACAGGAGATGTTATTCTGCTTTCTCACAGGGAAGGTGACACAAGCACCACAATGGTCCAAGCAGCCCCCTAGGAAGCCTGAGGCAGAGTGGAGATAAGAGGGCAGCCCTGCCACCGCGCTGAGCTGGGGCAGGCTGGTCCTCACATCAAAAAGGTCTGCAGGAGCCACGTGCAACTGGGACGCACACCTCTTGCAGCCACGCTCCGAGCTGTCAAAACGCTTGGGATTGGAAAGATGGTCCCGTAGAGCCAGCAAAACTGTCAGGGCCAGCGTCTCAGTGGGGAATATTTATCTCTGGTGTATCTCCACTAATGACTGCCAGCCGCGATCTTGGCTCATTTCTCCCAGGAACATAACTAAAATTCCACACGTGGTGCGTGGCTCAGTTCAGCTGCAGAGCACCATCCCTAATAGGAATCGCAGCGTAACGCTGGGCAGATAATATTCTTCGTGTCTCAGTAGCCCAGCAGAGACCAAAGCTCCCTTTTGCTAAGCGTTACACAAATAAGCAGTGAGAATCGCGGAGCACTTCTTGCCGGTAAAGTGCTGAAGTCGACACCCCTCATGAACCTCCCTGTTACCATCCCGAATTAAAACCGCTGGCCATGACCATCCCCAGCTCAGGCTCCGCTCCCAAGGCAGCTCCTCGTACCCGTATGAGTTTGTATTTAGCAATTCCTGTAGCAAAGAAGGGGTGTGGGGTGAGGAGACATGTCGTAGCCAGGAAGCTGCTGCGTGGCTGGAGGCAGGGAATGGAGAGTTCAGAGGGAAGTGGGCTGCGGGGAATTTCCTCCCTTTACCACTTGACGTTGAAATCGCTGCGCAGAGCTCAGGCTGTGTTTAGGGTTTTTTTTAACCTTTCTATCTGGGGGTGGGGGCCTGGCAGAGCCGATGCCGGTATGCAGAGCAAGTTCTGAGCCATCGAGGGATGTCTGGATCTAATTTAGGTTTATTATTTTAATGACATTACTGTTTATTTCATTTAACACCGAGTAGGTGAACGTGACCAGAGAACTGGGAAAATGTATGCTAGGAGGAGGAGATGAATCCTGCCCAAACCTAAAACCTAGCAGATAAAATCCTGCTGACGCTACTGAGCCCTTTGAAGGCACAAGGCTCCTGCTGCAATCCTGGTATCGCAATGTCACTGCAAAAGGACAGGGATGGAAATAATAACCCCTCAGCGGCCAACAAATGACAGAGAAGGGTGAGGTCAGGAATACATGCCTCGGGGATGGGTGATCTCATCCTGGCCTTTGGTGGACGACCGCCCACATCAGAGCCCTGCCGCACGGCCGGTGCGGTTACCAGCTCCGACATGAAAGTTTGCTGGGCTCAGGATGTAGGCGGCTTGGCAGCGCCCCGACCAGAGACCAGCACGAAGACTCCTGCCCACCCTCCCCGCTCTCGAGAGTGGCTCTGTCCCCAGCACAGCCCAGTAGCTCCATGTCACCCTCCTTGTCCATGCCACCCTTGGAGGGGAACCTTCCCTCTGATCCCGTGCAAGCCATCCTCCGCTTCCTAAGAACAGCAGAGCACCGAGTTGGGGAACAAGAAGGACTTGGCAGGGTTGAGAGCTGTGGTTTTGCCGCCTCTTGCCTTCCAGCTACCCCTCTCCTCCCAGGGGAAGCTTTGGGGACTCTGAGCTGGCCAGGGAACAAGGGCAGCAAGGATGGGGACAAGCAGGACCCTGCCTCACAGAGGCACTGGCTTGACTGCGCAAGCTACGGCTCCTTCATCTCAGAGACCTGAAATTCTCAAGTAAGTTATCCTCTTCAGGGAAGGCAGGGAAGAAAGCAGCCGGAGAAATCAGAAAACTCCATGTCTGAGAGCAAAGGAAAGGCATCTGAGTTCAGGGAGCACCAGAATGGGGCTTTTGTCTCTCTTTTACCCTTGGCACGTGGCCATCCCCTCTCTGTGAACCTACCTGGGTCACAAAGAGATCCTTTATGTTTGTCCTGCACCACTAAGATAAAGACTGAAAGACCTGACCCTGCTGCAGGTCTCCAGGTCCCTTCAATATCCTGGGACCTGGAGGGTACTCAGCACCACACAGAGACAAGGTCACTTCCAGAGTCCTGCCCCAACACACGGGTCTCAGACACACGTTCTGGACAAGCTCCTGCTCCGTTTGGTCTCTAGTGTCCCAAAGAAGTTGAAGCAATCCTTTTACATCGTCCTGAGACACAAAGGCTGAGTCCTCACTCGGTGGTCACACTTCCCCGGAGCACACAGCTTGCAGGGTTGTCCCCTGGCACTGCATTTGCTGCAAATCAAGGCAGGGAATTCCCTTCCAGCCACCTTTCTCTTTTCCTCTACAGATTTTAGGGCTAGTTTTTTAAATTGCTTTTGTGCTTGCTGTAAGGGACAATCAATAAGACGCTTAACATCCTGGTACAGAAACCCCTACATTCATCATTTAATGCAGAAAACCAATTCCATTAGCTATTCGTGGAGCAGATGCTGCGACTTAAACATGTAAGTGCCTGTAAGCTTGGCCCTTAATGTATTAATTCATGTGCTTAACCAACGAATCACACTTGGCAAACAATTTCCTTAACGAAAAGTTGATAAAAAGGGGAAAAAGACCCACTGAAATTTTTATTTATACGAAGGTATAATTTCCAGCAAAGACCTCTTGACTGACACACATTCATGGGCTGTGACCCTCCATTCAGTGTACAATGTCTAGACTGCCTGAAATAATAATTTACTTCTCCATCTGAGAACGTGTTTTAATAAATCACTTTGGGGTATACATTGCTATCACTTTACCAGGGGCAAAATGTAGATGTTAACTGCACAACTGCTAAATGCTGAGTGGATCCTCTGATCTCTAGAAGACTCTTTGTCTAGTAGGTTTTTTCCCTGTCAAATAATACACTTTAAAAATAAAACCAAACAAAAACAAAACAACAAAAAACCCCAACTCCAACCACTAGTTGCACTGTTTAGGGAAAAAGAAAAACAAACCCAAGACGGATGCTCTCTACTCCACGAGGTGATGATATTGATCTGTGTAGTCTCTCTGCATAGGATTTCCTGTTCTTCAGATGCTCTCCCTAGCTTTGCAAGGCTTAATTTTTATTCTGGCAAGAATATGCAGAGACAAGAAGACAAGAAACCCTGTTAGAAAAATAACCTGCTTGGTTCTGCATGGGCCTGCACACAACCTGCCTTCCCGGAGATTTCCAAGTAGCTTCTCAGAATCTGAGCACCCCAGAGCCATACATGTTTGCGTTGGTGCCTCCTTTCCCGACATTTGGGTACGTAATATCATGCAAACACGCTGCTTAGCTGAGTCTTCATTCACGTGAGGGTGCAGATGTGGGGTGCTGTGGATGGAGGCACAGCAGATCACAAGAAATCCATCTCCCTTCATTTCACATCCACTGAAAGAAACCTGAAGCCGGCTGGGATGACTTTCACCCCCCATCTGCTCCAGGTAATAGAATAACCATTTGCCATTTGCCTTCAGGAGGTAGCTCCGCTTTAAACCAAACCCAAAGCCTGACTAACAGATGCAATATGGGAAACACGCTCCCAGGGCAGGTCAGGAGCACGCTCTAGGAGATTGCTATTGATGATGATAAATACAGCATTCGTGTTCTGCTCAGACTGTGCTTTCTGTGACACAGAATTGTACTTTCTGGCAACACCTTATTGCCTGCACCTTGCGTTGGCCGTCCCCTCCGCTCTTGTTTTGTGCAGAGAAACCTCAGCTACAAGTGCAGCCAGCCTCCTGCAATTGCATAAACAAGAGTGCCTGCATATGAAACAACCGCTAAAGGCAACGTTAGCACCTCTTCATGAAGAACACATGAGGGACTGATAAAATACATCCAAGCCACTAGCTCAGTTCCTGGAAATCTGATGGGTTCAGACCAGCTGAAATACTCCGGCCTCTAAAGCGGCCCTCCCACATGGAAGCTGACCTCCCTTCCACTTAACCCCTGTAGGTCTAACTTAAGATACATATGGAAAGATGCCTGTATTTCTGTTACCTGAGGCTTTATCTCCTTTCTTTTTCTAGGGCCCCAATTCAGCAAGCACTGAACGATCCCAGTTAAAAATGTTTCAGCCTGAGGATGGTCTGGGCTGCTGTGTCTGTCTCCAGGGTCACACAAAGCAGGACAGGTATGTGGAGAAGGTCCAGTGGGGAACATGGCAGCTGGAGCTCCAGAAATAAAAGCCACCATAATAAAAGCACTGCAGCACAGATGCTCCTTTGACGTTGGGCAAGGCCCTTCTCATCTCAAAAACTCAGTTCCCCAATTGTAAGACGGAGACAGCGACACTGTCCTAACTCACGTTAAAGGAAGATAAATATAGTAATAAACATGAACTGCCTCAATTCTGTGGCAACAGGACCCCTCCTGAGTGCAGAAAATTGCCATTTCCTTTAGTTCCCCCGTAGTATGTCTGTACAATCGCATGCTATCCTATTGTGCTACCAGATAATTTTGTAGCAATTTCCTCTCCTAAGACATTTGATTTCACTGTAAGCCAGTTTAATAGCCTATAGATATTAACATGATCCCTTATTTACAATAATGGGACCTTGTAGCTACTGTAGCTTACAGATGCAATTTATTACAGGATGTTACCACAATCCGCAGGCTACCAGAAAACATTATGCCTGGTTGTTACAAATGCCATTTTCCTTGTTGAGATAATAAAATAACCCTTTAAATGGTTGGGATTTTTCCTTTTTCTGAACGTCTGTGAAAATTAATCTTACTTTAAAAGCCTGCTTTTCCCTTGTGGTAATGAGAGCCTCCATATATCTTGTTTTTAAAGGCATGCCCTTTAAAAAAACCTACGTCATGTTCATAGGTTTTGAACCTGCGAGCTCCTGAAGCTTCAGCTGGAGTCAACAGGTGTCTGGGGCACTGGGAAGCAATCTGCAGAGGGTCAACCTTAGCAGGACCAGGCTGCATCTCTCTGATGAGAAAGAGAAACCCCGGCTGCTTTGCCTGCCTTCCAAGCTGCTCGTCACCTGACATGGACTTCTCATTTCATTATTCTTGCAATCTTCGTGACATTTCAAAACCGAGAACGAACACCTCCAGAAGGCTTTGGGATTCGGGAAGAGCAGGAGGGTTCAGCGTATGGGAGAAGGTAATAGTCTTTCACCTAAACTGTTTATAACAAATCTTCTATATTAGGCAATAGTATGTTTTTAAAAAAAGAGAACCGAACTCGTCAGTCCTGTTGTTCCCAAAACCATCGCAGCAATGCAACTGCTGAAACATTTCCCCATTCTTCTTCCCTTGACACACTGCACATGAAGCTTTATGTGACTTGGGTTTTATGTCATCCCGATGCTCACAAATAACCCAGATCCCCTTGTATCAGACACCGCACAGGCACGTGGTCCTCGTGCAGACCACGTGGTGAGAAACGCTCCTCCATGCCAATGCACACACAAACTTCTAGCTGCCGTATACTAGCACGGCTTAGACTTACCCGTCCCCAATCTCAAACCTCTCTGGGTTGTAGGTTGTGCTCTGCACTGTTATTTCTAACTTTTGGGACAAACTCTGCTCTTAGAGACGCCCCTTCTAGCCCAGGAACCGAGGGCGTGACTCAGGAAAGAGCCACCTTTGCAGCCTGGCAGGACCAGCCCTGCACTTTTGATTCTTCTCGCATGAAGATGCAGGACAGATTTGGCTTGGCTTTTATCTTTGATTTGATCGGAAACAGCTCTCAACGAGGCCATGAACTTAAGGCACGCAATTTATCTAGGGAAGTCCAGGAGAAGGCTCCCAGGGGTCCTTCCCTCAGTACTGGCTCAAGTAAAGGGAAAGGATGAGCCAAATCCAGACTGTGTCCCTGCTTAAGGAGGACAGCAAACCTTCACAATCTCACCCTGCATCCATCAGCGGCTAAACGAAACCCTGAAGAGTCTGGCTAGCAAAAATTTGAGCTGCTTGAGGGGTGCCAAACAGCTGCAGGGTTGCCTGCCGTTCCCTCAAGTGGCAGGTGGGAAGTCAGCCTGCTACAATCCACTTTTATCCTTTAAACGCCCAGAACGCAGAGCAGATATCCTGCTTCCGCCCAAAGCTTTGCTCTGTTTGCCTTCTCACAGGATGTCCTGCCCCCGTTATTTTTTTTTTTTAGCAGTGGCACTGTCAAAATATTTACTGGCTAAAATATTTATGATATATAATATACTCTAAAATGCAGCTGCTGTGTCTTCTTTACAGCATTTACCCTTCCTGGAGATAACTGGAGAAGCCCTTTTCGAAGGAATGGGCTGGAGAGAAGAGTGAAAAGCGCGGGAACGTGTGTCACCAAGGGCCTGATCCTGACCCTCATTCGAGGCCGTTAGCTGTGACTGTACCTCGTCCTCATAGACCACGAGCTGCGTCTTCCGTAGCTGGATGTAACGATCCTTCCACAATCCCAGGAGCCCCCCACTGCTTTTCTTAATCCAGCCGTACTTCTCTGCGGTTGGAGCAGACTTTGGCTTCTCTGAGACCTCCTCCTTTGTATCCTGCAAGGATAGAAGGGAGAAGGAATTACTTCAAAAGCACTTTCCATCCATTTAATGAAGGTCATCTGAAAGCCTGCCCAGAGAAGACCTCGGCACCCAGCAAACATGGTCCCTCCCTACCACATCACAAGGGAAAAGACTGGCATCTTCCAGAGGAAAACTCAACCAGCTCCCACCAGACCAGGGAGTGGGCATGGACCTTGGCCACCCCTGGGGACACTCTTGGGATGGCAGCAAGTCCACCTTGCTCCTCTGCTTGCCCAGCGGCTCTGCTCCCCTCTCTGTGGAGGTACTCCCTGCTCGCTTGTGCACCAAGTGCTCCTTGAAAACAAGCACCCTCCTCTCTGCTTTGCTCCCCAAGCTCTCTGATGAACACCAGTGGGATGGATCCTGCTGGCATCAGTAGCAACATTCATATTTTAGCTCATGGCCACTTCTGCCAGCTTCTCCTCTAGGCCTCTACCTTTGATCATCACCCCCAAACCAACTCCATGGGCAAATCCACAGCACAAGGTCCAGGCCTTCATCACATCCGCACTAAAATGTTCCCGGCAGGCTCCTGTGGTTTCTAGGCAGAGGGAAGGACTGGCAGAGAAGGGAGCACAAAGAGTGGGTTGGTTTTTTTGTCCTGCCTTTAGCTCCTTGCTGTTTGTCACAGCCTGCTCCCACCTGCCCCAGCAGCAGGAGCCCCAGCATCCTGCACTGGGAGGCTGCTGGCTTTCCAGGCCTGGTAAAAAACAGGAGATGCATAAAACCATCAGAAATACCCCATATCAATATTCTCGTCAAAGGGAGACAGGAAACCTAAGACAGGGAGTGGGGGCAGTCAGGCTTTATTAGCTGATTGCCTTCACCAACAGACTCGGTTACAGAGGAGAGTTTTCCTCCTCTCCAGTGCGCTGGAAGAGCCTTTGCAAAGGCAGGATCCTCGTTTCCCCTCCCTCAGAGCGCCCCGCTGCCCCCAGCACCCCATGG